GGGAGAGGGGAGGATAAGCAGGGGATCCCAGGCCCAGGGCAGGGAAGGTGTGGGAGGAGGGCTGCATCAGGTCTGTGTACAGAGGGTGTTGCAAACGTGCCAGGGAGAGGCCCGGGGAGATCCTGGGGCCCTCTCAAAGTAGGAAAGTCTGAAAAATATTTTCCTAAGCTTGTCTTTGGACAGCTGCAGCTGACTTTAAGCAATGACACCAAGCAAGCTGGAATCTGGATAGGGCAGGTTTTTAATCCAAACAGATGTCTTCTAGCCCCACATCTCCTCTCACCCTGCCAGGACGCCTTTTTTGCCTTCTCCTCCCTCCACCTGCTAAAACCTGGACATGAATAACCCCTTCCCCCGTGCCAGCTCTGTCCTTGCCCTGTGCCTGTGACCCAAGCAGCCCCTCTAGGGTCAGAATATGAATTGAGAGGAGAGGATTGTGCTCCTGCCTTAGATACTGTGGTTTACATGCTGAATCAAGGAGAACTCAACATATCCATGCCTCAGGTGTTTCCTACTTTAAAGCAGAAGCAGGAGGGTTAAGCCACATTTGTAAAGCCATCCAAAGGCTGTTGCAAGGTGCCTCTGAATGGTTTCTGTTTAAAGCACTGATATTGGAATTCCTGCAGGTAGAGGGGGGATCAGGGCAGCCCAGCTGCCAGGGGTGCTCTTTGGGCTGAGGGATTCCTTGTCCTTGATTCTGCCAGGACAGAGCCAGGGGAGCCTGGGGGCTGCTGCCAGCACAGCCTGGTCACAGGAATCACCTTGTCTTACAGTGTAATGGAAATTGCCAAGAGTCACCTTCACTGCTGCTGCCTGTCCTTTTTCCCATTTATTTTTATCCCTCTTGGAAGTGCTCATCAGTGTTTACTGCCACTTGTAAGCAGCAGCTTGAAATGACAGGGCTGACGAGCAGGATGGGGACAGTGAGTGAAGAAAACAGAGGTAAAAGCAGGGACTGTTTGGCAGGGCTGGCCTAAAATAGTGTAGACCTTACAGCATTATAGTCTATAAAGGCAGAGTTTTATCTCCTGTTCCCTTGCCAATGCAGAATTTCTGTCTCTCATGTTTTCATCCATGTTCTCCTTGTCCCCCAACTCACCAAGGCAATATCATTTTTGCATATATTTCTAGTGTTTATGGCTTCAAACCAAGCTGCATCCCAGGGACTGAAAAAGTACCCCAGCAAAAAGCAAAGAAGCCATAAATACTATTTTCACAAAGCTTCATGGTTGTTAATCCTTTCTCTTATTTCAGAATTGCGATGTTGCAACAATTCCCTTTATACCACACCTTCCCTTCTTTGCTTTATTTGTATTTTTTTTCTCTTATTTCTGTGCTCACCCCCACAATCCTCGCTTCTTCCAGCCCTTTTCTCTTCACTAAATATTTGTGATCCCTCTCCTCACCACCGTCAGCCCTTTGGCAGGTCAGCCCTTCCACCTCCATAGCTGCAGCTGCTTCCCAGACACGACCTCACATGCATCCTGCCCAGCCACCCTCACGCTGCAGCGCTGGTTACTCAGCCCTAGCCCAGAAAACAAGTTCACTCAGGAAGTTTCACAGACCACACAGCACTTACATGACCTGTAGACAAATTTTTTTGGGAGTGCTTTCTAACAGGAGGTGACTCTCCTGTCTGGCATCCAGTGTGAGACACTACCAAAGACATCAGCAGGCAAATGCCAACCTCCTGTCTTCATCTCAGGCTCCACTGAGAGCCTGGTGCTGGAGACAGGCGAGCAGAAAGCCCCAAATTTTATCATTGCTCAAAGCTCTGACACTCCCGCTGATGTCAGTTCTTTGAAGGCTGAGCCATTTTGATGTGGTCTCAACAGAACATACTTGTGGTCTGGACCCAGACTTTGTAATTTATGTAACTCTAATCTAGACATTAACATTTCCATGTCCCAGCCTAATTTTTCTGTAAAAGGAGGATCATGTGCCTTTCCTATCTCTTGCTGTGGAAAAAGAGCAAGTACAGTTTCTTGCATGCACTGAAATTCTAAAATGAAGGAGCTGAATGCAGGGCCAAGGAACCAAAGGGGTTTTTTGCCTCCTTGCTACGGACCCATCACTCACACTGCTCCAGGAATATGATCTGTGAGTACACAGTGTGAAATTGAGGTACAGCAGTGAGATGTGCATAGAAACCTTTTCTCTTTGGGCTCAGATCTCTATCTCTCAGCTAAAACCCAAAGCAGCCACATTAGTTAGACTGAACCAGCACTGCCTTCTGTGACAAGCCATTAGATGGGAGCCCTCAGAATAAATTATGTTTAATTCTTAGCAGAACAACATTTCTCTGCTCTGTTTACTGTGTCTTGTCCAACAAGGATATCTCGAGGGCTGGCTGCCTATTAGCTGGTGATTTAATGCTGTTTGCCTGTCTTTGGAGAGCAGGACATTCCACTTAAAGGAGGTTTTCTTTTTGAAAAGAACGAGAGGTTTCTTTTCATCTGAACAGGAGCCACATCTCAGGAGCCTCTGTTTGCAGCACCAGCGAGGTTCTGCATCCCACCCAGAAAACACTAACCAGGAGTGCTTGAACTCCTCCAAAGGGCATCCAACATGGGGCTTTTTGGGGTCCAAATGTTCCAAGTGTGTGTGGGAAGGACATTTCCCTTCAGTGGCTCCCTTTGATCTCTCTCACTTCGGGCTTCCCCTCCAGGCCTATTGTTTGCACATTGCTGTAACTACAGGAAAACAAATGTATTATACAATTTCCCAGACTGACTCACCCTGGTACTTGATGCCTCTTGTAGTCTGCTTACCCCTGATTGCATCATGTCAGCATGGGAAGCTTAAAAGCTGTTTTTTCTGAGTAATAATACTGCAGTTGAGCAGTAGCTAAAAACAAAAAAAAATTATTATGATTGCTACTATCATCAACCTGCAAACTACAAGGGGAGAAAACCAAGCGAGCCAAATGCCTGTTAACCAAACCTTGTGTGAATCATGAGTTCCAGTCAGGGGCCATGCTGAAATAATGGACTATGTGAATAAAACACCCTTTACTCCTGGAAACTTGGCCTCAGCCACTGGGATGGGCCCATCCATGCAACAGCCTGGTCCCTGGCTCCTGTGAGATGTGTTTGGGTCAGTGTGGTGTAAACAGGGCAGGGTGGGAGGTGTCCTGCGCTGTGGGAACGGGGCCACCGCTCCTGGGTGGGGATGGAACCCCAGGAGAATTGTCCCCTGGTTGGAGTTCAAGCTTCTTGCACTGCTGTAACTAATGTGAGTTAAACCCATCCTGTTTAACTGCAGATTTCCTGGGAGCAGAGCTGACCGAGCTCCCAACACCTGCCTCGAGCACTGCTGCCCCACAGCCCCTCCTGAGCCACCCACTTTGGCCCCAAACATCCCCTGGACACTTCCACAGGATCCCCTCTGCCTTGGCAAGGAGGTGGTGCAGCAAGGCCAGCTCTGGTGTAGGGCTTCTTCCACAAACCAGAGCTTTGCTTGAAAGCAAGCACTGATTGCACCCAACCCTGGTGTAGGGCTTCTTCCACAAACCAGAGCTTTGCTTAAAACCAAGCACTGATTGCACCCTCAGCAGCACTGGCTGCATATTCAGCCATGGGGTACCCAAATCTCTCCTGCTTTAGGGAGGAAACACAGAATCCTCTTCCTGCACACCCTGAGCCTTGTGCCCATGTGCTCTTCATGCAGGAACTCACTTCAGAAATTTAATTTCATGCAAGCCAGCACAGTCAGAGGTGGGTGGTGACACCCCTTAGCTCACAGAAGAAAGCATCACCTCTTACACATTCTGGCCCACTAAGGTTGAAAGGAAAGATAAACAATAAAAGCATTGCAAAAACCCTTCCATTCCTGTTCTGTGTGGGACAAAAGCTTCTAATTTCTTGGTATGCCAAAGGGGAAAGAATCACTAAAAGCTGTGAGTCAAAAGCCCTTATGCCAACAGCTCTCCTCAGATTCATTTCTGATCACTTGATGTTTCATGCAAACAAGAGGCACTGTGTAAAGCAAGCTGAATATACATATTTGCACTGACAAATCTATAGTGACCGAATTCATAAGGGCTTTTAAAGCTTTGAGGATGTGATTAAAGGGTTTTTCAAGGATAGTTCTTCATTCAAAAGGATATAATTACACTTGAACAAGTTATCATGTTTGTTCACTGCAGGCACAAAAGCAGCTCTTACAGGACTTGTCTAGACACTTCCACCAGGTGTCTTTGTTCTTCTTTTAAAGTAATTTTTTTATAAAAGAACTGCAACAGCATCCATTTTAAAATCTGAGTTTTATCTCCTTTTCTGATAAAACTCCTTCCTTTACAGAACCTCTATTTTCTCAAATTTTAGTCTTTCAGAAATTTACCAGGAAACGTCTTGTAAATCTGAAATAATTCCACCTTTTTCAAAAGAACGGAATCTCTCTATTTAGGATCTTTTCCATTTTCTGATATTATTTCTTCAGCTAGAGTAAGTCAGCAGTGGCCTTTATAAAAAACACCCAAGCAATGAATTGAAGAAAGATTGTGACCCACAGCAGTGCAGAGGGTTATTGCCTCAATCAGTTATCTGTAACCTCAGATGAGCCAATTTAAAAAAAACCCATTACATATGATAATATATGCACACCATTGTTCCAGCTGGCTTGCACCAACACTACAGTTATGCATAAAAGTCAGGAAATTATGTGTGGAAAGGCTAATGAGCAGCATTGTCTGCCCAATTACTGGATTTGCATATGCAAACAGTAATTCTGCAGATCTGGGCCTGGCAAAAGTTTTTTTGAAGTTGCATCAGGAGCTCAAGGTTAACAGCAAAGTAACCCCAAACCAGCTCAGCTCTGCTTCAACCCATCCTCCCTTTTTTGAAGAGAATAGAGGAGAAGTTTCACCTGAGGGTGATGGGAGGGGAACACAAACCAGCCCAGGTATCGCTGAAATCCCAACCCCATGTGCTGCCTAAAGGATGTTTGTGGGGACTCCAGTGGAAATCCTGGCTAACAGGGAATTCTGCTCTTTGTTTCAGGGATTCAGATCTGTTCCTGCTGGACTCCAGGACGATCTGGGCTGCAGAGGAAGGGTGGCTGGTGTTCGACATCACCGCCACCAGCAACCACTGGGTGGTGAATCCCCAGCACAACCTGGGCCTGCAGCTCTCCGTGGAGGGCATTGATGGTGAGTGTCACACCCCAGCAGAAACCAGGGACTCTGTTCCATGATTCACAGACAGGGGAGGCACTAAATGTCATAGGCTGTAAATACAGCAGGATTTTGATGCAACACTTTATGCTCCGGCAATCCTCAAGGCTTTAAGTGAAGTAAAATATCAAAGTAAATCAACCTCCATCCTTTCATTGTATCTGCTGTTACATGATCTGTAATCATGAAGCAAATACAGTCTATTAAAAAAATAATCACACAAACTAAATGAACTGAGAGCCCTTTTCCCCCCTCTCTCTGGTCAGGCTGCCTTGCAGGGCTTCTCCAGGAAAGTGTCAGCTGTCCTTTGGTATGTTTGATTTGTGCCTGACAAGGCCTTAGCAAAAGGATCACAAAACCATAACTTGTATTTAGCAGCAGCACTCAGTAGCTTGGGACAGAATAATCCTGGATATCAGCTCTGCATTGCACAGCAGCACCCAGACATCCCTCAACAGCAACAAGGAGAAACATGAAATTTTCCACTGCCACACTCTCCTTGCCTACTTCTACAGAGAAACCTACTCATTGTCTTTTACCAAAAATCAAATTATTCTAGAGCCCAAGATGAAGGATGATGATGAAATCATGATGATTATCATGGATGATAATCAGTTTTGTACAAAGTTATCAGGTATGGTGGTGGCAATATGCAGCAATAAGCAAAATGCCTCTAAACATTTGTTTCTCTCAGCTGAGCTATATCTGGAACTCTGTCAGCATTTCATGCAAGGCATTTTTATTTTAAGCTAATAACCTTCCAGTGGGAATTTAGTGTTCCTATGTGCTGAGTTTTACGGCTCCTTTTATAGGATCACTTCAAATTATAGGTTGGTGAACTTGAAGAAACCCCTCTAAAGAATGCAGGAAAAGCTAATGCTGAGCAGATTTGGGCTAAAACAATTATATGTAGGACTAGTTAATGTAACTTTTACACACATGAAGTTAGCTGTGCTGAGCTGCTCGTGTCAGAAGCAGCTTTGCCCGTTAAGGTCTTTGGAGGGTGGATGGCATTCACAGGAGTTATCCTGGCGGCTGCCAGGATGAAATCAGGACAAAACCCTCACCAGTCTGTTGTGCTTTCAGGACAAAGCATCAACCCCAAGCTGGCGGGGCTCATAGGGAGGCAGGGCCCCCAGAACAAGCAGCCCTTCACCGTGGCCTTCTTCAAGGCCACCGAGGTGCACCTGCGCAGCATCCGCTCCACGGGCGGCAAGCAGAGGAGCCAGAACAGATCCAAAACACCAAAGAACCAGGAGGCATTCCGGGTCTCCAACATTGCAGGTACAGCGCAGCTGCGTGGGAGCACGGTTCTGGCTCTGGGATGGTGTGGGAATGGTTTCTCCCACGTTATCTGTTTGTTGTCCCTTTGGTCCACCGCTGGTTTGAAATGGTGTGGGGTTAGGGTCGTTCCAAAAATGGCAGCTTCAAACAAACATTCTTTTCCCTATGTTAGATTGAAGTATTGCTTAATCCAAATTTAAAAAATACCCCAAGCACCTAACCAGAAAAACTCCTTTTCTCCCATATGAAATAAATTCTCATTTTGAAATGAAAGATAATTACGTTAAAACAATCAGTGATAAGTGATCAGTGTATCTGAATCCAAATGCTGTTCATTTTCCAGAGCTCATGATTTTAAGTTTAGCCCCTAAAAAGCACAGTAGTCCCAAAAGTCTTGCATAGAAGAGGAAAACCAATTCATTCTCAGGATAACCACGGCTATTCTGGGGGGAGCTGTGCTTCCTAATTTGGAAGAAAACTCCATCAGGCATTTGAAATAGAAATGTGGCTTAATTATGTGATACCTCAGAGGAACGGGCCCTTGATGAGGGTCCCAGCAGGAGCCACAGCTCAGGGCTGGCTCTGCTGAGGCAGCAGCAAATTCCAGCTGCTTGTGGGAGTGCCTCACTCAGTGCAAGGAGAGCTTGTGAGGAGCAGAAGGAAAAGCAAAACAGAACTTCCAGTCACATTTTTATAGAATCATTAAGGTTGCAAAGGACCTCAAAGATTATCAAGTCCAACCTGTGAGTAAGTCCCACCTTGTCAACAAGCCCAGAGCACTGAGTGCCATGTCCAGTCCCTTGAACACCTCCAGAGATGGGGACTCCACTGCATTCCTGGCAGCTCCTTCCAGTACCTGGCCACCCTGTCAGAGATTAAATTCTTCCTGAGCCATTCTTTCTACCTGGCCTTCAGCTCAGGTTATGTGTCCACGATGGACAAAACTTTAAAACTGCACTGATTCTCCTTTTATCTATAGGCAATAATCAGAGTGTGTTGCTATTAGGAAGTCAGAGGAAGTCCTGGGGAAAAAAATTAAGTTAAAAACCTTACTTTCCCAGGCCTTTTTTGGCTTTGCACTAAAAAGCCAGAAGTGCATTTCATATATATTGAACCCAGCCATTATTATATGACTAAAACACCTAAAAACCCAGCTGTAAGTGCACCAGATGAGCAACAATGCCTCACTCCCTTCTGAGGGAGCTGGGGCAGCCCGAGCTCATGGCCACCATTGTCCCCTCACAGAGAACAGCAGCAGTGACCAGCGACAGGCCTGCAAGAAACACGAGCTCTACGTCAGCTTCAGGGACCTGGGGTGGCAGGTAAGGCCTGGGGTGCCCTGGCACATCATTTATCAACTGCAGCACTGGGATACAGCCACCAACAGATTTTTTATTTTAAATCCTGAAGGGGAAAAATATTGTTTACAGCCTTTAGCGTGCTTAAGAGCTTCTGCTAAGTTGGGTGTACAAATATTTAGTGTGAGGCTGGCTGGAAGCTCAGCACAGTCAGGTCCTTTTGAGGGGCTGTGGGCCTGCAGGTCCTCTGGCAGTGCTGAAGGCTCTCCATCTTCATCTGCATGTTTTTTTAGACCTGGTTAAAGCTATTTTCCTTTCTGAAAGCTTGTGTCTGCATTGTGCTGCTGAGTGAAGTGATCCTCATGGACAGGCAGGGCACTGCTGAATGGATAAACAACTGAACCCAGATGTGCAGCTGCTCTGTGGGCACATTTGCAATGTGGGGTGTGTCCCTGCAGGAAGGGCAGGCACTTCAGAGGCCTCTAAGAGAGCTTCAGAAAGGCCAGGGGGGCAGATTTTTGTTTTGCAGGCCACTGTAACTGTGTGTATGAATGTTTAGATTTATATGTTAAGTTTATATGTTTAACTGGTTGGCTCTTTGTTTCACTGCGTTTCTGTCCTTCCTCACAATCCAATGGCTTCCATTGACTCAAGGACTGGATCATTGCTCCGGAGGGCTACGCTGCCTATTACTGTGAAGGAGAATGTGCTTTCCCCCTGAATTCCTACATGAATGCTACAAACCATGCCATTGTACAGACACTGGTAGGTGCCCCCTGTCTCCTAGCACAGCCTTACACCTGACAGAAATAAATTTATAGAATCATACTCAGAAATAAATTCATACACAGCAGGGTCTCTGAGCTAACAGGGGCAGGAGGGTCTGCCTCAGCTCTCAAGGTGCCTGTACCACATGTCTGGCCTGGATTAGAACCTGGCCAGAAATTACCCTGTTTTTGCTGCAGGCAGTGGCAGGCTCTTTCTGGTTTGAAAGGGCCCTGTGATAGACACTAATGGGGGTTTGGTCCCACTGCATGGGAAGAAGGGAGCAAAACACCAGACCCATAGGGGAAACCACTTGGGGAAGCTCTGTAAGGATCCACAACGTGCTGCCACCAAAAGTGAGAAACAGTGAATCCCAAAGTTACACAGCTCAGTGGCTGAGTGAGGATATAGGACAAGCAGAAGGTTGCCCAGGAAAGAAGGATGTGGGGGGAGGAGAGGGGAGAAGTGAATCTTAACATTGCTCTATTTTCACTCCCCAGGTTCACTTTATAAACCCAGAGACTGTGCCGAAGCCCTGCTGTGCCCCTACACAACTCAACGCCATCTCAGTGCTCTATTTTGATGACAGCTCCAATGTTATCTTAAAAAAATACAGGAACATGGTAGTACGAGCATGTGGCTGCCACTAGGTTTGTAGGACAGAGGACGAAAAAGGAAAAAGAAGTTATTTGTAAAGAGTGGGTTTGTGTGGCTGTGTGGGGTTGGGGGAAAGGTTGGTGCTCCAGCCATGGGTTTAAAAAAGTCCCAAACCATTTTAGGACCAGGCCTCTGAAAGTTCAGACAATGGAACAGTTTCTGGATCTGAAGAGGCATTTGAACACATTTTGTTTTAGTTTATTACAGACAATGAGCTTGTAAACTGAAACAAGCCAGAGAAACCGTTTAAAACCAAATCTGCTTACAAAATTGGCTCCTACAGTACATACTTTTGCAAATGAGTCTTTCTGGAGATTGCAAACTCACCAGTGTTGATTGTGAGTAAAACAGTAATAATCTATCCAAGGTGAGACTGTGCTGTGACTAATAAGTGTGTGTAGTTCCTGTAACACGGTTTGCAATAAAATAAGTGAACAAAATATACCTGGAGTGAACAGGTATTTTGTTAGAGAATTATTGCTTCCATCCCTTTGCTTCAATTTCATAGGCAAAACCAAGGATGAATTACATGCAAGTTCCAGTTTTAAACTACAGTAACAAAAGCTGGATGTGGATTGACACAAATTCAAAGGACAGATTAGTCTAAGGAAAAACAAATCAACTGGCAAGCAAAAGAGCTGAAGAAAAGTACTTCAAAGAGTGAGAATTTTGGGGTGTACTTTTTTCTGTCAACAAGGAAGGAGATTTCCTCTAGCAGCCAGAAGGTATTTCAATTTGCTATGAACTTGAAACAGGAAAGCAGCAAAATGCTGAGAAGCAGGGATTAATCCTGACGTGTAGCTGGGGTGCCCTAAGCAGTCACTGTAGGAGCTGTAACTAAAGATCCTGCTGCTGTGTGGAAAATGTCCATTGACCTCCCAGAGGGAACAAGTTGTTCCCTTTTCCAAGAACTTGGAGACTCAATCAGAAGGTGTGTCAGTTGGGATGCACACCCAGCCCCACACAGACTGGGAGCAAGCTGGGAAACCTTCCAGGGGACAGTGCCTCTGATAAACCCCCTGCTCTCCTGGCTTCACCTCAAAAAACCCCACAACAATCCACTTCAAGGGCCACCAAGAAGCTGGAACTAGAAGCAAGAAAATGTCCCCTCAAGGCTTTTCTTTTTCCTTCTTTTAAAGTCACAGGTTACACAAACACCACACTTAAGTAATTAAGGCTCAATTAAAGTTGCTGCAAAGAAGAATAAAGGGTTGCAGTAACCAATCACAAACCAATTCCCCACTTTGGCACGCACCAAAGTAGGATTGGTATAAATTTCACCAGGGAGATAAAAAGAAAATAATGCCCAATAAAACACCATGCCCAGCACACCCAGCTCTAAATCTCCAAACTTCAGAAAGCTAAAGCTCCCACAGATCCAGGGGTCCAGGACAGCACAAATCCCTGGAGATGGGTCTCTGCTCAGCGAGCAGATGGGGCCACGCAGCCACAGTAGGGACTTGGCTCCATGTCCTGCCTTAGAGGAGAGTTAGAGAAAGAAGATAAATGAAATTCTGGACTTCACTCACTGCTCTTCTCCCTTTAAGTCGCAGATCAAATCCAGACCAGATGCCTCACTTAAAAAAGAATAAGCAAAGGAAGAAAAAAACCCCTACTGTCTATGAAATAAATTGGAAACTTGTTTCTGATGGCCTAATTCTCATCTCATTTCAGTCAATTGGTGTTTTCCCAGCAGTTTTCTCAGTAGCAGAATTAAGCTGATGGGAAAGAGGAAAAACCTACAATGCTGGTAGGTTTTGGATGGGGTCCTTGGTGAGCAGCTGCCACCTTGCCAGATGTGCCTGGCATCCCCCTAGACCTCCCCAACATCTGCAGGAGCAGCCTGGCTATAGCAGGGAGGACTGCAGCAAACCTCCCCATGGGCAAACACAGCCAGAAACATGGCAGGACAACAGCTGAAGCCAAAAGTCCACCTCTCATGGAGCCTGCAGACAGCACCATCCATCACAACCAGCCAAACCTGCCCTCAGTGCATCCCTGGTGAGGGTGAGGAATCAAAATCACACAGAGAGGAAGCATCTTTTGACATTGCATACATATACACACACCAGTGCTTCTGTAAACCTCCTAAAGGAAGTGAAGGTGCTGCCTAGAAAGTTAAAAGCTAATCATGCCTGAGCTTCCACTATTGAGTAGTCAAGGATTAGTTTTCTCTTGGGTGTTTCAGTGTTGGTGGTCACTGCATTGGTATATTGTGTTTTTAACTTGGACCACGGTGTCTTGCTGTATGGGACTCATATATTAAATATTATGTGGGAATTGTTTCTGTTTTGGTTTTTTGTTGTTGTTTTTAAGCATAATAACAGGATTTCTGTTGCTAGGCTCAACATCAGCTTCACTGTTTGTACATTTTTGTGTAAATAGTTGTCACAAGCGGAAGAAGAATTATTTATTTCCATCTCTGAATTCCTTTTCAATCACATGCAGGAAAAATGATTCTGGGTTCCTAAACACATTTGTTTCCTTATTTAAGAAGATATTTATTAACAGTTGGCAAAAATGCATACACATTTCTGGTTCTTTTCATAGAGCAGTTGTCAGAAGCCTTTTTGTACAAACTAGTAAAATAAATCATTGCAACTTTACAAAAGATATCCCGACTATGTGTATCTGTGTGGTTATTCTCCCTTTATTCAAAGAACCTTTCTGGCTGGATAATATTTCATCTTGGGCCTCTGTTTTCATGCAGCTCAGTCTCTATGTATGGGCAAAACTGTCACATGTCATTATTTGGGGCAGCTCCTTTGGTCCAAATACAACAGGGAGGGAAGAATAGCAAAAATATGGATGTGTTTTGCAGTCTGTGCTGCAAAGATCCATGATTGAATTATAGTGCAGCTGTCAGCAGCTGTTTCAAAGAAGCAGGGGGTAAATTAGTTCTGTTTACTGCTAACATAGTTCAGAGATTTAGTCATCCCAATAAAATTATAGAGGCACAAGAAAGGAAGAAAGAAACTCCAAAGAAACATCAGCCAAGAAGCTGACATTTTCTAATTTAGATTGTTTTAGCATATTTGAGAGATGCTGCTGGCATGAGGTTTCCTACTGTGGATACCACACTGCATTTCTATGGAGGCAGCTGAAAAAAATAATTCTCTAAATCCCTCTATTAACTGAGCATTATATCTTCAGGGCACAACAGCAATTTTGGGGTTCTTGTTTTCTTTGAACTGTGAGCAGAGTTGTGCCAACTTACATACATGTATTTGCTGGGCCAGAGGATTCAATCATCAGCATTTGGGAGTTAATCTGCCATCTTCCACAAGCAAGTACAAATTCATAAGTAAATTTGCCTTGTGCACTGCTCTGAGAGTCCAGTAAAGCATCAGTGGAAAGACCTTTGTTGATGTAAAATGAGACCTACTCAGCTTTTGTAGGCCTGGGCTAAATTTAGAAGGAGGATCCTCTGGTATTTCTCATTATGGTCCCAATTCTCTTCATTTAGGTGTAAGGCAGGGGTGGTGCCAGCAAGGAGAACAAGAATAAAATAAATATTTTTGCTTTGCAGGGTCAGTCCTGAGGCCAACAGCAGCTTCACCACTGAGTTCAACACATCCAGCCATGAAATATCTGCTGGTTTCCAGCTCTGCCACAAATACACACAACTTGCTGGATGTGCTTTGGAGCAGCTTTCCCAGCCCAGGAGCCAAAGCTCCATTCCCAAGCTGGTTGCAGCCTCCCCTTGGTCTGCAGCACTCCTGTGGCTTTGTCTCCTCATCTACTGTTCTGGAAGAGGAATTCTTGACATGAATGCATCCACTGCCATAAACTGGCAGGGCCATAAAACCCTGGTGGATGAGCTTCCAAACAGCTAGATTTATCTGAGTAATGACATTTTAAAGCACATTTAAAACATTTTATAGAACAGTTATTCTAGCTTCCTTTCAGGCCAAGCTTTGAGGATGTTGTGTTTGCTTAATTGAGCTGTTTCAGATCTGTTCCAGTACTGACAAAAAAATCCTTTTGTCCCTACGCAGGAAACTGCCTCTGCTGCTGCCAGTGTTCGTGTAATAAAAAATAATGATTTAAATAAGCCTTAGTGCAAGTTTAAATTCCTGATTGTTATGGAAGTGTCAGCTGTAAAGCCCAAAACCAGAGAGGGCCAGCAGGGCTTGCACAAGCCCATGGCCAGGGGCTGCAGGATTCCCTCTGCTGCTGGATTCAGTCCCTCAGCAATGGGAACGGACACTGCTGGATAAAAATCCCCTCAGATTCATCTTTTCAGTTCAGAGTTCACATCCTCTGCCTGCTTCCATCCAAACACCCTGCTTGCTGACTTGCACTGCTGCCACAAACACATTATTCTCAGTATCCAACCTTCCTTCAGAGAGAAATTCTGCCCAATTAAGCTAAAAGGAACCAGTTTGAAGTTTTTATTTATCAGGTAATGATTGACAAGACCTCGAGGCAAAAACTATGAGCGCTTTATAATGCAGTCACTCATTACCCAAGTACAAAAGCAACAGAAATGGGTTATTATGGCCACTTCGAGTTGCTCTGTTTTAAATAAAAATATCTATTCCCTTTTTCTGCTTAATGCTGTGGAATTTGTATTCCTAACTCAGCAACTGAGAAAGACCAGAAGTTTAGGATAGCAGGTTTAACACACTGATTCGTTTCCTAGCTGGTTTTCCAAGGGTCCATTTGCCAGGCAATGGGAACAGACTTTGTAATTTTAAAATTTGGAAAGTTGTTTCTTGGTATTGTGAGGTTTACTACTTTGGGATAAATCTGCTGCTTTCTCCAACAGAATCCTTGTGTATGAATTAATTCCATAAATGAAGACAGCACAATCTTTAAACAGTTTAAGTTTGGCTTTGCATTTAACAGGAAAACGGGACAAGCCATAGACAGATTCATCAGCTTCAGACTTTTTTTTCCTTAGTGAAAGGTACTGGGGGATGTTGGGGGAAAAAAGGGGACCCACAAACCCTTAGGAAGCCAGCTTTGCACTCGACCAGCTTTTGCAGGCATGGTGAAGCATTTAACCATTTGCAGGCTAAAGCTCTACATGGGGCTGCTTGAATTAACCTCACCCTCAAAGGATTGCCTTGCTTGTCTGCAATAACCCCAATCCCAGGGCAGGCAGCAGTGGTTTGGGGAGTGGAGCAGTCGTGTCTGGGGTGAGTGCTGTACCCAGGCCTGTAATTAAAACCACTCTCAGAGCTGAGGTGGCTCCTGAGTGAGCTGCTGATAACTTGGGCCTAATGGGCTTATTTTAAGAAGCTCTTAAGAAGCAAGGAGGGGATGCCAGGAGCTCCGTGGACCTGTTGTGCTTTAGTGTGTCAGCACCTGGGGCTCCGGCCCAGCGTGCTGGGGCTGTGCTCCGTTTCCAGAGCAGCATTGCAGGTTTGTCACTGTGGTTGTGCAGTGCACAAAGGGCTACAGAGGCTCTTTTGGCCTGGCTCCCCACCTTCCCTTCCATTGCATGATCTCTCCACTAAATCCAGAGTGGACAGCAGCCCCAGGAGTGGCCAGACCCTGATGGTGACACCAACCAGCTGACCTCTGGCTTGGCTAATGAAGGAGAATGTTGCAGGCCGCTGGATTTACCCCCATTTATCCCTATTTGCTGCTGCTGTGTCAGGTGCCTCATATCAAATAGGTGGAAGCAGAGACATTGAGTGTCTGGATTCAGTTATGAGGGGTCAGAGCTCAAAGAGATCCTTTCTCAGGTCCCAACAATTTAAGTCACTTTGCTCAGTGTTTGACACAAGCTGTAGACAAGAGCAGAGCAGTCAGTGCCTCTACATCTTCTGCCTCAGACTCTTTAAAAAGAGATATTTGGGCAGCTGCTTAATGAGAACAAGTTCCTCATTTTAGCTTCTATCTTAGGCTACATATAAGCACACAAGAAAGGAGAACAAACCAAAATATCAGCTGATCCAAAACTGACA